TCGCGTGCATGTGTGCAGCTACACTAGAGGGCCCACGTACGCCCGGTCGGCCGCCTACCGGCCACGGGGAACGCGGACGCGTACGCGGACTGTCGAACGCAAAGTGGGGGAGTTGTTTGAGGAAGAAAAGAGACGGAACGGTTCTAACCTCGGCATGAAACGCTGAAAGCACAACGAAGAGGTTCGACTAGAACGAAAAGCAGCGGACGAACGCCTGGACGTTCATATTGGTGGGGAAACAAGCAGCGTCGGTGGGGAATGAAGCTCCAATCGCAAAGGAACGCGGATCACGCGCGACTCCGCCCGGCAAGGAAAGGCGAGTTCTCTGGTCGCGAGCGCGAGCGCGCCTTTTTACCTCGCGTGTACCGGCTACTACTGCTGCAACCAAACCACGGATAGAGGGAGAGAAGGTGAGTACATTTGCATATGCGAGAAAAGCGACCAATCGCGGCACTCGCTGCCCCCTCTGACTCGATATCGCGATAACGATTAGAGCTTTCGAATAAATACAATATAAACAACTGACACCGATGTCGTTACCACGTCCACTCTTGTAAACATCAGGCACTGACTATGTAAATATTATCCCAATGGAGGGCGCTTCTTTATAAGGCTCATGTATATACGCAGAACCACTGGACGCAATTAATTCAGATGAGCGTCACAGGTGGCGTTTTTTCAACGTTAGTGGCGCAGCTGTCTCGCGGTGCAAAATTATGGAAACAGGTTGGTTTCGATTATTTTTATGGTTGTTAGATCGTAGTTTCTGCTTTGACGATGAGTGTTTTTCGTATGGTGTAAGGTATTTAAGTAGAGTAAAGATAAAGACGATAGGACGCTTGAAAAAAGTTAGTTAAAAAAGTAACAGTGAGAAGTCTTTATCAAGACATCTATCACCGTGTTTTCTGTTAATCTCGATAGTAATTTGGCGGGAAACTGTGTTTATATCGTCACTTATAGAAAACGTTAGAAGTTTTTGATAAATTTCGATAAAATAAGTGATCTCGAGATTCGATTCTACATGTTGAAACGCTTTTTGCATGACCTGAAGAACAAACTGTTTGGTTGATACTGTCTGCAGTCTAATGAATCTTAGATTAACAACAGGTGAGTAAGTACATACATGTGTGTATACTTTTAAAGGTTAAACCCGCTTGGTTCAACGACCTCTCGAACAATGGCGTTATTGTGTGTTGCATATGTACGCATTAGCAAATGTAGTAAAACAACCAATAATACATAATAATACAAGAACAGTGTAACCAAGTTACAGTATCCATAGCAGCGATAGCGTTTATCTATCGAACCGAACCTTCGATATCGAATTACATACTTCGAATCTAACTAAAATCCAAACACTTACTTGATCGATTTTCACGAACTTAACGTCGCAAATTATAAATACATTCGATGATGTATCTCAGACGCCATTTTTTTCTGTATCACTCCTGGCCATCTCACAACCCCGCGATGGTATACAAATATTCAGGAATCCCTATCCCGTCCGCCATTCCTCCGAGTCCGAGTCTCACCTATCATATTTCTATGCACACACATTGGAACCCACCACTCCCAACATTTAAATGCGGCATGCGCAGTGCCAGTGCAAAAAAAATGAGTCGCTTTAAAGTGGGCCTTTATTGGTCGTAGCAGCCGTGCAGTATCCCCACCCTCGCGCTACGTTTTTCCCTCGCATACACAAGCATCCCTGCCATTCTTCCTCCTTTTATCGCGCTATCATATTTCCATACAGCCACCGGCCACCACCACCGTCACCACCTCCACTCGATACCCAGCAGCTCGCCCAGATTTGAATCCGGCATGCGCAGTTCCGCGCGCAAAAAGGGCGCTTTAAAGAGGTTCTTATTGGTCATGGGAACGCCACCCCCACTCCTTATCGCGTGTACCGGCTACCTAACCTTGCGAACGCGGCACCCTTCCTCTTATCGCGTCTTCTTTCCCCTCGCTACGACTCACCCCCGCGCACCCTCTTCCTTGTGCACGTTCCTTTTTTTCGCATTTTCTCTCCCTTCTTCCCCTCCAGCTACCCCACCAGCCAGCAGTCCCACGTCTCCGAGTAGGAACGACCGAGCATCCCCTTGCACCCCCGCCTTGCACACCCCCACCAACCCCCGTGCGCGTACATACACACGCATACAAAGAAGGTGCGACGAGGATGAATAGCGCCGAGGGACGAAGATGTAAGCGGGACATACCGAGAGGGCGAGGGTGGTGGCACGAGGGAGACGAGGTGGAGAGCGAGCCGGTATTGATTTTAATGACGCCCCTACCTACGCGAATTCACGAAAGAGGCGCGAATAATATCTACGCGCTCTGATTCCGGGAGTTGGGACGAAGCGAGGTTTTGTAAGGTCGCGTGAACGTTCTTCTAACTGGTATAGCAGGAATTCTAATATTCTTTCTTTTTCCTATTCCGTGTTTCGGCTGCTGTCTTATACCTGGAGAATGATACGATTAGCAAGACAGGTAGTATAATTAATAGAGGTGTGAAACGATTCTTCTTTGTCAAGTGGCGACATTTCCATGCCGTATCTGATTGCGGACGAATAAAGGGTTGGTAAAAAAGAGAGGATGGTCATATTTATGTATGACACGCGTGCCAGAGGATAAAGGCACTTGCCGAAAATCGAGGTGGCTCGAGTGCCACTACATGGAAGGGTGTTCAAATACCCATGCCCGGGACCCTAATCTGAATAAGGCAAACCCTTTCTCCCTGAGCGCGGATCCCCTTTTTTTATTCATCGCGTGCAGGTATTTGCATGACCCGAGATCGCAGGTGCCGGGCCCTCTTCGTTCCCCATCGCGTTTCTCATTCACGTTGAATGAAACGAACCTGCAAAGGCAAGGGGTAACCGTGTGTATATATGAAAATAACGCGGTGAGTTGGTGATGGTGCAACATTTGCTCGTCAAGGACAGTGATAGATCCTTAACATCGTCTCGTCACATGTTGATTCAGTGCACCTGGGTGTGAAACCGCGGTTGCACAGGTGAAATCATTCTTGTAGAGTTTAATGCTTTTCGTGACCGATAATTTGCGCTCGTAAAATTATCGTG